CCTAGTTCTTTTCCATTCTGAAGTTGTCACACTGTCTGGAATGGCTCGCAACAGTGAGTGCCTACCTCAGGGCAGACTGCCAGAAAACAGGGCAGACACCCCACACTGGTGGTGTGTCCTGTAATTAGATTTCACCAAGCCAGTACCAAATGTGAACTCCTGGATCACTATTCCAGTCTTACCATGGAGTCACAGACAGTCCACTCAGACTCTCCAGTCTATCTTGCCATCCAGACAAACTGGACTTAGTGATAATGTCCCCATAAACCAAGAATCACATCACATCAGGTTGCTTCCAGTCCCAAGGTACCAGTCACTTACCCCAGATCCATTGGTACTCTGGATCTTACACCAAAGACAACGCTGCCAGCCAATTCTATAGTAAACTAAGCTGAGAAAAAAATGAGTTACTGAGAGGTTAAAGCGGGTAAAATATATATACAGGTTGATCACAGTTTGTAATTCCAAATAGTGGCAGTGATGTAATAAACTGCCAGTTTCTCACAAATCTTTTCAGGGGTGTCTCCACTTTGCATCTGGTACACTTCCCTGTAGGAGTCCAAACAGTCCAGAGATGAAGGCTCTTTTTTTGAATCCCTTCCTACAGCTTCTTCTCACAGAAAATAAGTTGACAGTCTCTCTACCCATGTGGGCTTTTCCTTTGATGAGTGAATGAGGAATGCACTTTGAGTTTCTGACCTCAGGGCATCACACACAATGGCCGTTTGCTTTGGAATTAGCACTTTTTTCTGATAAAGTCCCTCATTAGCATTCTACAAGGCTTCTTTGATGTATGATGAGTTATTTAGTTACAGGGGATTTACAATGTAAATGTTTGCTATTGCATTATAACAGGACACAGATAAGTAAAAACAATGCATTTAACATCCTATTCGTTTTAGGAAGTTTTAACACCTAAAACACTTATACATTTAACAATCGCTTTGATCTATGCTAATACACAAGTGAATTGGCCTGAATAAACCCTGACATGACCTGGTCTGCCAGCATCACAGAAGACTTTTTGTTGCTGCCATGATTTCTTCATCTATTATTTGTGGGTGTACTTGATTAATCTCACCGTGTCATAACACCATCTTTGGACTTTTGTGGCATTTTCTAGGGGCAGCAGTGTCATCTGCTGCTCCACCACACCCTGTTAGTACTGGCATCACATTGCCAATGGCTGCTTATTTAACAGTTTTCCCTACTTATATCACAGCTAACCCCCATATCTGAACGCAATTCCACTATCCACCGCCTCTGGACATGCTTGATGTCAGAAACGCTGCCCCTGGGAAGTTTACCCAGAGACAAGTTTGGGTGTTTGGAGTCTATGATATGCAGCTAGTGTTCAGAGATTTTTATGAATGGTTTTCTTGGTAGCTGCTGGGTTGAAATATAAATCCTTCCCATCTAAAAGAGGTACTTCATTGTGTCAGCAGGAGAGTCAGTCTGGTTGCATCAGTTATATTTTTTCATTCAGTGAAATGACAGGACATGAGCGGTTCAGCCCCAATCCGTCAGTTAATGTTACATCGGTTTTTATGAAACAAAACTACTGTTTAATTTTTTTAGTTTGGTTTTTAAAAACCCCAATGCTGCTTCAAAAATTGCTTCTAATTTCTATGGCCCAAAATGTCAGGGGATGAAAACCCTGAGGTTCACTGTCCCCAAGAGCTGTGGAAAGGGTTGAAATTCTGCTGGAATATGGGAGAAGACAGGCTGGAGCGGGGAGGGATGAGTAATCTCTGACCAGCAGCTTCCTAGCAAGCCCATGGGGATTCCATGCATAGGATAATACCTTGTATCCATGGTGTGGCAGTTCCAGCTCAGAGGAAAGATTTGGGGGCAGTGGTCAGCAGAGAATGCCTTGACAGCCTGGCAAAGCATGCTGAGAAGCAGTGTGCATTCTGAAGGGCCCCTTACATATGAATCAAGTATCAGAGGGGTAGCCGTGTTAGTCTGGACCTGTAAAAAGCGACAGAGTCCTGTGGCACCTTATAGACTAACAGATGTATTGGAGCATAAGCTTTAGTGGGTGAATACCCACTTCGTCAGATGCTTTGTTGCTTTTTATATATGAATGGCTTTTGTCTCCAGATAATCCTCTCAGAACTGTAAGTTTGGAGAGTTGAAAACTGTGGTTGCTCTGAAGGGGACAAATACTGCCTTCCCTCTGAGAAACAGTCCATAGAGAACTCTCTAAAAGGAGGCACATGGTGTTTCCTTATTTGGGGTTTTCCAGCACTGGGGAGAACTGGACACACATGTTGTTCTTATAATTACTAATAATACTGCTGTTCATGTGCATGAAAAGTACATAAGAGCATAAGAACAGCCATACTGGGTCAGACCAAAGGTCCATCTAGCCCAGTATCCTGTCTTCCAACAGTGGCCAATGCCAGGTGCCCCAGAGGGAATGAACAGAACAGGTAATCATCAAGTGATCCATCCCCTGTCGCCCATTCCCAGCTTCTGGCAAACAGAGGCTAGGGATACCATCCCTGCCCATCCCGGCTAATAGCCATTTATGGACCTATCCTCCATGAATTTATCTAGTTCCTTTTTGAACTCTGTTATGGTCTTGGCCTTCACAACATCCTCTAGCAAGGAGTTCCACAGGTTGACTGTGCGTTGTGTGAAGAAATACTTAATTTTATTTGTTTTAAACCTGCTGCCTATTAATTTCATTTGATGACCCCTAGTTCTTGTGTTATGAGAAGTAGTAAACACTTCCTTATCTACTTTCTCTACACTAGCATGATTTTATAGGCCACAATCATATCTCTCCTTAGCCATCTCTTTTCGAAGCTGAAAAATTCCTAGTTTTATTAATCTCTCCTCATACGGAAGCCATTCCATATCCCTAATAATTTTTGTTGCCCTTTTCTGAACCTTTTCCAATTCCAATATATCTCTGCTTTTGAGCTAAGACATTATGATAGCATGCTGTGAAATCTGT